ACCCCTCTATTGCCTTCCTTACTTTACCGGCAGTCAGACACGACAACTACAGAGTCTTCTATTATTTATAGAGCTCCCAGCTCCCTAGGGTATTACATTCGGAGAGCAAAGTTGCATCACACATGTAGAGTAAACACATACAACAGCAAATATTCAGCAAAGACATTGGAGTCACTGGAGTCTGCAGTGGTTTAACTACCAGAGCATGCACACCAATCACTGTCGGTACTTTCACAACACACAAATATATATATAAATAGCAGCTGAAGGAGCTCCTTGCGACCAGCCAGTCTGCTGTTCAACCTTAGTAGGATTTGGACCATGCTCTGCTATGGCAATTGCAGCTGCCAGCACCCTACATCGCTCAGCCGGTCTGCCCATCGATATTGTTTTGGCATACAGCCACCAGAGCCTTTGCCTTGCACCAGGAGGCTGAGTTAACTAACAACTGTCTGCCCTCCTAATGCGGCCAGACTGCAATCTGGAAATAACAGAATACACGAAACACCAAACATGGAGCAACTTCACTCCAGTGGCAATGTAGCCCTCAAAGTGTAGCTTGCAAACACACAGACAAGACACACAGCTCAGCAGGACTCCGAGTCCCCTCTGGACTTGTTGCTCTTACTCCGGCCCCTGTAGCCTGTTTCGCCTGCTAGCTTCTCCAAATCACAGGACTGCACACGCAGCAGTCAGCCTGGTTGAATATGGCCAGATAAAACAGGCATTCAAGTGGTCGCCCTTGCTGAAAACTGGGAATAATAATGACTCTAAATTTTTCCAAAGCAACAGATATTTCCACAGCTGTGTTTTTCTACGTCAATCTGTATGAAGTGCCTTGTGCAAAGGGATAGCATAAGTGCCCCGCCTAGGATTTAAATCCACCAGCCCTAACCTCTCTCACCACTCCTTCATACTGTTGTGCTCCTTGCAGCCTCTTCAGGAATTAGCCCCAGCTTTCCTCTTTCAGGAGGGCCAGGCCAGTCCTTTGGTCAGTCTGTTTGCTGGGCATGCTCTGCACCGGGGCTTTGCAACCTGAGCCGTTGTGGAGAGCTTTGCGGCATAGTGCTACCGGAGAGCACTCCCTTGCTTCCTCTGACAAGCCTATGTCTCCCCCTTTCTACCATGGCAGGCAGGTGATTCCTAATTGTTATGCCGCTGACTGTAAGGCAACCCACAGCAGTCACTTGTCACATCACTGTCAACGGTTGCAGGCCCTTAAAGATGCAGTTTCTTATTGAGAAACTCTGCCTCTTGTTATACTACACCTAGGGTGTCCTTACTTTCCCTCTCCCTGGGATAGAGGTAGAGGAGAAGTTGTGCAAAAAAAAGCATCACCCTTCCAATCATTAACTCTGATGGCATTGCAACATGTACTGTCCAGAAATATATCATCTCAAACATTAAGAGTTCATTAAGCTTCTAACAATGTCAAGTGAAGTGTAATATTCTAGACAAAAGTATTTAGATAAATATATCACCTCATGTTCATCATTTGCATACATATGCCTCTTAATACTATAGTCTAATGTCTTTAGTTCTGAAGTCTTTTTCATAATCAGTTTAGATGTGTAAATCAAATCTGGTGCAGGGTTTTATACATATTTTCTAAAATGGCACACTTGCACATTTAGGGATATCAACACACAACAGTCACATTCACCTTCGCCCACATATGAAAAAATGCAGTGTGACAAAAACGACTTACTTGCCTTTTAAAACCCATTTGCTCAGCAGTATGATTCAGTCCATTGGTTTTCTTTAATACACTACAAAACTTCATGATTCATTCATAATATTTTATAAGGCAAATGGTAAGCAATAATTTTTTTAAGTATTCCACATCCACTACTCTACACTTTAAAGAAAGAAAAATAATTCTATATAAACTGTAAAGTTCTAAGGTAAATCTGAGTTAGCCTGCATAGCTAAAACACACGTAAGTTAAATCAGGAAACATATTTTAATTTAATTTTCTGCCAGTTCATTTTAACAAAAAAGTATTTGAAAAAGTATATTACTCATCCTTTAATGGCATGTGTTTGACAAAATATACTTTGTATCAACATTTTACATAGCCCACCAATACATTATGCTGAAAATCTTTATTTTTAGACCTTCACCAGATAGTCTTGTACACTTACCTTATATTTCTCTCTGTAATATCTTTGTTGGGCACTCTGTTTAATAGTCTCTTACAGTTATATTGGAATTATAAATGCTATGTTGAGAGATAATATTTTTTGTGAATAAAAGGACACATGAGAGAGACAGAGAGAGACAGAGTTAAAAGCAGTGCTATACCTGAATCTGACAAAAAGAACAAAACTCTTACAGTGCATTCAGAGATTTCAAGAGATGATTCATAGTCATACAAGTGTGTCAATATGTATTAGTAGAACACCTGTAAACTTTTTTAGGAAAGCAAATTCAAATCTATATATAAAACACTGCACATATATATTTAATTTCATATCAAAACGTTAGTTAACCTGAACTGTTTAATCTCTGTTGCATGCAAACAAAGTATCTGCCAAATTACCTTTACAGAGGCTGACGAAAATAATTTTGAAATAAACTATAATGTTCTAACAGTCTCTAACTATAATGCAAACTATAATGTTTGCGACAGTCATATTTTCAAGCAAGAATGAAACAAAAATTGAAATTGCCACTTGACTGAATGTTTTATCTGTATAGTTCTAAGTTTCTGTGTTTACCAAAGGCTGTAAAATGCATTTTCTAGTCATTTTCTCAAACTGCTACTTCAGAATACAGTGCTCACTTACCAAACTATTTATCAGCTTGTATTACTCTACAGTTTCTTAGTTCATTTTTACTAGTCTTATAGTATATCTCAGGCCAGCTGATCTGCTTTGTTCCTCTTGTTCCTTCCAGAGAAATGTCTTCTTCATTCAGATTCAATCAGGCAACACTCCCAGCTGTCAGGACAAAACACCTCCTTTGACCTCCTTCAGCCCATTGCTTCATTTCACCTTCAGAAGGGCTGGCGACAGAGAGTGCTTCCCAAATGTCATTAGCAGTGCTGTACAATTCAGCACATTACAATTAATGCAAACTTTGCACATATGTCAGCAAATATAAAGTCAAAAATAAAGCAATGTTAACAAAACGATCTATGCACTGATAAAGACGAAACTGAAACTACTGTTATACTCCTATCAACATGAATCTCTGGAGAAAATCAGGTTTTGTTTTAGGTTTGTCATTGTGTTTCCTTCCATTCATCCCACACATTAACATGATAAAAGGATAAAAGAAATTCAACAAAAACAGCTTGTTAAATATTTTATGATGCCCTAAGAAAACATGAGGTTATATTACTCATTTATTAATTGCAAATAATTATATCTTTTATAAAACTAATAGGGATCATCAGAGAAACTGACATAAATCCTTGTTATCCACATTACAATAAAGGTTAGGATTTTTCCTCTTGTTTCTGTAGCAAAAGCTTTCATCTGTGACTTGTGTATTCCAACATTGTTTAATTTTCATCATACGCAGTCTGCTTGCCAACCATAAAATTAAAAGAAACAGTAGCTAGAAAGTAAAAACTAACATGTTACCTAGAACAAATGAATATTTTCTTCATCACAGAAAGGTATATCATAACTAAAAGACAAGCAACCCCAACAAACAGGCATGTCTTTTGTTTTGTATTACAGAATTCTAAAACATCACACAGAGGAGCAGTTCATTATTTTAACTAGGGTTAATTATGAAGGTTATGTTGGCCTAGTCTGTGAATACATTTGAAAAGACTCCAATGTTTCAGGCAACACAACCCGAAACAGGAGAGGACCAGACGTAACTATGTGTTCTTATTGTTTTAGGGAGACGGAAAACCAGTGGGGCTCCCTTATCAAAGCTAACATCTTCCCAATTATTAGTTTTACTGTCTTGCGACTGGCGTGCAAATTCTGATGTAGTGTAAAAACCTTCCTTTTTAAATTTCCCTTTTGGCAAAAATAAGTGGATTAGATTGATGTGGAGGTGCTGGAAGAAAAGAAATGGCCCACACGTCAAAACGACAATACATATTACATGGTCAGAGAAATAAATGGTACGTGCAATAGCTGCGGGTATTTTCATTAGCTATGTACAATAAGCTTCCTTTTCAAGTGAATCATGTGAATTGGTTCCAATTCAATGCAGATTAAGTGTTTGCTTGAAGCATCTGCGTCTATGAGTAACACCACTTGATAAAGTTAGCTTGAAGTAAGAAGTGGACTCCTTACCAAGTGTATATATAGGGATTTAACATGGGTGTATTTTTTTAGTGTCACACAGACCTCAGAGCTATGTCAGCAATTGAAGTGGAAAACAATAGAACCAGGAAAACTTCTGCTTGCAAAGGTAAGAGTTTTATATTTGTTTAGTGAGTTGTCTTTGTCTAACAGAATGTAAGCGGTTTTCATGCTTCAGAGAATCGCTGAAATAGTTGAACACCAGAAAGTCTGAGTATTGTTTTACAACTTTTTTAAGTGGGTTCCTGGAATTGGTTTAGCATTGTGTTATTCTTAAAATGACATTATTGAAACAGGGTACTGTTTCAAAATAATTAGAAATTCCAAAATTTTAAGAGAATATGTTTAAACTGCGGAAGATTGTTCAGGACAAAGAACATATTTCAATCAATTTTCATTTTTAACCCTTTGCAATTTAAATGTAAGTTAAAAGTGTCTCAACATAAAGTCAGGTTATTGTGCAACACTGTAAGAAAAAGTTAAACATGTTTTTTGAATGAAATATCGTACTCAGAATCTTTTGTATTTGTAATATTCATTCAAAGGTTCTGTCCTTTCCACTTTGGAGGACAAATTACTTGATGTGAGATACATAAAGATATCCTAGAGTGTTAGAAAATCTGTTGAATAAAGTTTGCAATTTACAGTGAAGATTCTTTAAGAGAAGGGTGACACCTTTATCTTTACCTTTAAGCGTAAAACCTTAAGCTTTAGGTAGCAATTTTATACTGAAGGTAAAATACTGTAGTACTCGGGTTACCCATTCACCTGCCTGGTAGAATGCTAAATTAACTCAACTTTTCTTTTTTAAATGAAAGTCTTTCACATCTTTAAATTACTTTGTAATGCAATACAACAAAATATTCCAATGTTTGGCTTCTGGTAACAAAAACTGATTGTAATAAATATATTCTTAAAATGTGCTTGAAACATCAAAATGTTTCAAAATGATTAACTTAAGGAATTAAGTGTTTTTTTTAATTGATAAACATGAGCTAATAAAAGGCATTTCAATCTAAAAGTGTATGAAATATTAACATACATTTACTATACTAGCATTCTCTTGTAAAAAATGCAAGAAAAAGTAGAAACCTTTCAAGGTTCATCAACAGAGTCATCTCTGTCACAATCTGTTAATTTAAACTGGCCTCCCATATTTTGGCACTGGGAAAAAACAATGAAGTAGCCAACATGTGCAGCACTGCTGACACAGAAGAATACACACTTTTCCTGTTGTTTGCTTTGCTGATTCATGTTCAGAGTTCTTGATTTTGAGAAAGCAGTCAATAAGATTTTAGCCAAACACCTATACAACATGAAGTAACAAAGAACAAAGATAAAAACTGCAATGTAACAACAAAACAAAGTAGAAGATAATAGATATTTCAACAAAATAAGACTAGAAAACCTGAGGAACAGGTAAGCATTCATGTACACTGTGTTAGTGGTTAGTGTCTCCCTTTGGCTCCTATTACAAAGTGCAAATGTCTTGATATTTTTAGCTTTGGATGAATTATTGTCATTATCCTGCAAACCTTTACCCCAGTTGTTGATGGATGCAGCTTTGGATGCAGTCAAATTTCTGAGTTTCCTGGCAGGCACCACCTTTTCACAATCCACCAAATGACGCATACACATTGCGTGATAACATTTGTGGAGACTCAGATGATTGGTAATTGTCAACATATAGCTGTTATCTGTGTGTTTTTTAATTACCATAGTACTACAGTTAAATGGAATGCTAAGTTTTATGATGCACAGGGCACATGGCATTAGTTTAGCCACTACTACTTTCTGGCATCTTTACTGCATTTTTCTTTAAAATCAAAATAGACATTTCCACTCTCAATTGCAGGGCACACACAGGCACAAACATAGGCATATCGTACACACACTGACACCCCAGCCGGTTTTCCCAGAAGCCAATTAACTTATCAGTACGTTTTTAGAATTTGAGAGGAAACAGGAACGTGTTTAGGAAAAATAGGGAGAACAAACAAACTCTTCACAGACAGTACCCCAGGACTGAAACTAAGGGCCTCAGTGCTTCAAGACAGCAATTCTAACAACTGTGCCCCCATGCTGCCTGTAGTACTAAATCATACTTATTAAACAATTACATCATATCTGAATAATATACAATATTCTGTCACAAGAAAAATAACATGAGATTCTATCGATTTGTTAATCATAATTGATTTAATATGGTCAGATAGATACCAAATGACCTGATGACAATACAACAAAAAGAACTAAAAAAAGAAATCTTAATATATCTAATGTACATTATATCTTAATCTCTGAAGTTTCCTGTTAATGTGCAAATTTAGCAACTGAAATAAAATGGGAACAGACCAGTGTATGTTACAAAGTGTTTATTTCTGAAGTAATTAAAAAGAGACAGCCTTACAGTTGGCATCATCAATTATTTGATGGACTAAGAACAGAAACCTGTAATTTTGAAGAGCATGTTTTTCTCTGCTTTTGAAGGAAAATGTACTCTTGTTGTACAGTATGTTAAATGAAACCTTATTATCCATGACAGTTAAACATTTCAAATTATGTTTTTGTTTCAATTAATTTCATTCAATGTTGGATAACATTTTTGTTGAGTAGACAACATTTTGAGTGTAATCTTCAACAATTACATTTTCACTAATTTGCATAAATTTCATATTTATCCAAAACAGCAGCTCAGAAGAGTTATCCACAAAATTTGTTTTAAGGTTTTGTTCAGTAGAACAGGGGCTGATGTTGTCCCCAGTTATCAAAAAAAGATGTTAATGATTAGCTGCTTGTCCAATGAGTTCTCATAACACCTGTTATAAAAACTCATCTTTTCCCCACAAAGAATTAGATAAAAGTATCTCAGGAACAGATTCATACAGCCTAGACATGAGGAGTTCTAGATAAGTGACAAATCCACCCCCCACTATTACCATTGCACAAAGCCAGCAGTGTTTACAATCCACCTACAGCAGTAAATAAATCTGAGATATCGACATTTTTTTTGTTGTAGTTGAGAAGGCTCTTTGGTTTTTGTTTATAATTTCCAAAACTGATCATACCCTTTGTTTAAATGTTCAGTCAGCTAACAGCGGAAATTTACAAACACTGAGAATGGAATGACAATGCATAACTGAAACTAAAACCTGACACATTTTTGCACTGCAAAATCAAAAGCTTATGGTACTTTCCTCCTTCATTGCTTTTTCCATAGTTTTGAACAATGGTTCATGATGTGCACACACCAGATTCTACAAAGTTACATCACCACAGGGTGATGCTGGACCAGAACTGCAGTTAGGCACTGCCTTAGACAGAGGGTCAGGCTATAAGTATTGTTCCTGTAGAGTCTGTACTAGCACATGTTGCAGAAAGAGATAAAACACAAGCCCCCTTTGTGGCTGTGATTTAAATGTTCTTGGCTACTTAATGAATTACTTCTTATGCACAAGCTGAGAGGAACGTTGTCCAAATTATGTCAGTAGCCATATCACCCTGCTATTCACAACTGGCAACCCACTGAAGCTAAGCAGGGGTGACTCTGGTCAGTACCTGGATGGGAGACCTCCTGGGAATAACTAAGGTTGCTGCTGGAAGAGGTGTCACTGGGGCCAGCAGGGGGTGCTCACCCTGCGGCCCATGTGGGTCCTAATGCCCCAGTGTAGTGATGGGGACACTATACTGTAAACAGGTGCCGTCCTTCAGATGAGACGTAAAACCGAGGTCCTTACTCTCTGTGGTCATTAAAAATCCCAGGGCGTTTCTCGAAAAGAGTAGGGGTGTAACCCCGGTGTCCTGGCCAAATTTCCCATTGGCCCTTACCAATCATGGCCTCCTAATAATCCCCCTCTTACTCTGCTCTCCTCCCCACTGATAGCTGATGTGTGGTGAGTGTTTTGGCGCACTATGGCTGCCGTCGCATCATCCAGGTGGGGCAGGTGGAGGGGATCCCCATTACCTGTAAAGTGCTTTGAGTGGAGTGTCCAGAAAAGCGCTATATAAGTGTTAGCAATTATTATTATTATTATCATCTCTCACTTCATAATGTGTTTTGAAATGGACTATTCACAATAAAGTCAAAATAATTACAAATAATAAATCTCAACTGGTTGTGTCAAGTGCTGCAATGCATAATTCACTAAAATCCTATACAGTAATCTATAACTATAAATACCAGGTAACACACATTTTTAATGTGCTTGGCTACAGCGCATTCTATTATTCTCTCAGTTTTGCTTGTCCACATTTGTTTTCTTGCACACTATCAGATATTGGTAAAATGCAAAGCCACTCAACTGATCACAAAAACTGATCAAAATGGCTCCATTCAAAAGATATGAATGCTTTTATGCCATAAGCATAATGCAATTTCAGTCCTGGCAAGTATCAAAATTACTTAATGGAAATTTAAAAAATAACTTTCCAGTATGAAGAAATCAAAAGTATGGCACCTCACTAGAATATATAGGATTAATTCTGTATTTCTTTGTGCATACTGTATTATTTCATTTAGTTCAGGAGACTATGATGAGGTGGCACATGTCCCTGGATATTTGGACATATACTGTACATATTTATATGGTCTGGTCTGAGATGCACTCAGGAAAACCAAATTCCAGGATTATTTTATGCTCACATTCACCTGGTTGCAGTTTCTCATGTGGACACCAACATAACCATATCGCATTATATTGGTGGGAGTTACATTTCAGGTTAACCATAACCTATAAAGCACACTCTGTGTATTAGTTAAGTTCATTATGTTTTTGCCATAGTTGTGCATTATTCATTTGTTATACCTTCCTTTGTATTTTATACTGTATGTACAGCTTAATCGTATTACTGCAGAGCTATTCCACATGTTGTTGTGGCACTACAGCTTCGCCATGAGGAATACTTTAGTATCTTTCACATGATTAGAAAGGGGATTTAAACCCCACATCTGTGGACATTCGCGTTATGATAGTAGCATGAGAACTAAACTTTGTACTGCTAACTCCCTCGCTCCTTGAAGGTTAAACCTAGACATCTGTAATCCCTTTCCAGCTGACATTTGAACTTTTTTAACAGTTATTCCATTGCCTGTTTATCATTCTTGGCTTTAATTAAACCATTTTTTCAATAATTTTTACCACAATATTTTTTGACAAAGGGTAGACCCTTGGTCAAGATTTTGAAGAATCTTATCTTTTTGTCTATGCTGTTTCCCTTCCAATTTTTTTAAAACTAATTTTTCCCTCCCAACATAAATTTGCAGGGTTTACATCTCTGTTTTTGGCACAGTCCCATGAGCCTGTCTCCCATCACAACTGTTGGGGAGCACCAACCTCACATTCATGGTGTTAGTAGTGGGATACGCGTACCTTGGTGGTACAGTATGTCAAGCCTGAAAGCCCAACCTTTCACTCCAGTGTCACTCAAAAACATTTGAGTGAAGTAAGAGGGGAAGAGTAGGGAATGTGATGGTGTAAGCTGAGACTTTGGTTAAACTCCTGCTGAAATGCAAATTGGATACATCTGTCTTAATTGGTTGATTTGTATCCTGTGGAATGAAATTCCACAAGCGGAAAAGGGCTCATTTGATTGGCCCTGCGGGGAACTGAACTGAACATTCCAAAGGATTAGCAAACAGTGTATGTTAGCAGTAAGATGTACTGTATATGATCAAGTCTGCATCGAAGCTCCTGCAGTTTGGGGAGATAAGAAGCACGGACTCTAGTGAGTTTAGATAGCACAGGTGTTTTCTGACTTCCGTTCCATCAGCAGATAGCCTTGCAGTGTCAGTAAAGGTTTAAAGAATTGTGAATCTTAGAGAAAAAAAGTTGCAAGCTGTTCAAAGATTTGATATTATTCATTCACTTATTCCTGAAATTAGTTTTAAAGCTCCTGAGTCTCAATAGGAATGTTGATTACTGTAATGTACTGTAGCTGAACATCTGGGCATTAAAAAGGCTAAGCTGAGTAAGGCACAGCAAAAGGTCTCCAAGGAGACTTTGAACATATTTATTCCAGTTAAAGGGGAAGCCTGGCCGTACATGGTTAAGCATGTCAGGATGTTCCAGAGTAAGAAAATGAAAGTGGAGACTTTTGCAGTGCTGAAAAAGGAATTTACCCATTCTGGCCCTCCTGATGGTCATACTGAAGACTGAAGAATCAATCCGAAGGAGAGGAAAAGGAACTGAAGTGACTGTGCAAATATTACCGTTGTGAGATTCATTGATTTTAAGACTGTGGCTCCTCTGCAAGAGGACCACTGATTCATCCTAGGAGCCCAGAGGGCTTCCACACACCAAAACATTGTGATACGTGCAGATATGGACAAGAGATTTGTTGACTCAGGGCTGCATCTGGTGGTCTGTGGGTCAGCATACATCACAGAGACATTACCAGTATCATTCCGAAAAATAAAAAAAATCTGTAAATGATGTCAATAACATTTTCAGCTTCAAAGTGATCTGATTCTATATTCAGTCGTATAGTCTCAGTAATAGGTTCTTTCAGGTACTACCTGGTGACGATAATGGCAGTGTAATTTTTGTTATCCTTAATACTACCTGAGTTATTTATATTATTCTACTTGCTAAGCTATATTAGTTAGTTTCAGCTGACCGTTAAACTGCTGTACCCTAATTACAGATTGTGCCTTAATTATTAGAAATCCACTAAAGGTTAAGGCACCACTGAAGGTAACAGTAAAGTGTGATTGTAAGTACCTAACAACTGCACAGTATATCTTGAATGCCTACTGATACTCTTTGTCTCAAAAATGCCACAGACATAGACTGAATATTCTCATTTTGTGATCTGTTTTACATTAAATTCTTCATTTTTGTGTTATAGCTCAGTGTTTATCTATATAAAACAAAAAACTAATAAGGTCATTAAACTACATTTGTAATTCCCATTACTGCAAAATATTCAAACCATATAAACCAAACTTAAAATGTACAGTAGGTTCTGTGCTCCAGTTTTCTTTCTTGCTAACTGGTCAGAAAACCAGCTTCTACCCTTATCTTGAAATACACCTTGGGTTTTATGACAGTATACCTTTGAGACTGTAGATACAGTTTCAAATCTCTTAAATTGTTAACTTTCCAAGAGCATTCTTTCACTTCCAGAATAATAGACTTCCGTAAATGTAGGTCATTCAGAGTAGTTCACAAATTAATGGGTCACTGTGTGATTTAGGAATGCCTTTGAAGTTCAAATCAATGGTTCTGACCTTGATTCCATTCACAGTTTTAAAGTAAGTCAAAGTTTGACATGTAAATAAAGGAGTGGCAGAGCTTTTGAGTTTTATCAGGGAGTGGTGGTTGATTAGGCAGTGACCATGGCTCTAAGGCTCTAAATGATGAAATCCTTACAACTGAAAACTGCAGGCGATTCAACTTTCCAATGAGAAGTCTATTGAAATCATGATTCAGGTAGCTATCATGTTCCATTAGATTGATGAAAACCAAGGCTTCTCAATCTGCTTGACATTTTCTACATATCTTGAATACCTTACCAGTACAAATTGAATCTTTAGGTACTACAATTTCATTTGGAATAATTTCCTTCTTTTCAGACCACTTACAGAAATACTACAATATATACAGTACAGGTTAAGATTTATGGCCTATGTGATCTCAGAATATGTCCAACTGAACCTCAGACTAATTCAGTTTACTGAAGTGTTTACAGTACTGACACCTAATGCTGTTGTGACTGGAGTTGCATTAATGTAATATACCATGGGCAAAAATGCACAGTTTTCTAAATTTAGTAATGTATTCTTTATCTCTTACTAGGTTAATTACAACAGTCAGCAAAGCAGTAAACATTTTTTTAACCTGCAGTGATGCAGATATACATTGGTTCCATGTTGGTATCTTCCCCAACTGGCATCACTGTTATTCTGAATTGTATTTGTGCAATTTCTGCTGACCTCCTCACTTCTCTGAACAATGGGCCTTGACAAATTCAGCCAAAGTACAGGTGTACAAGTACAAGCAGACAGCAAAAAGTGCTCCACCAGCAAGATTCTTTGGTTGCTTATCTTGTTTTTTTTTCAAACAATATAAAACAAACAAGTGTATTAATTATATTGCTAAAAAATAAATGTTATCATTACAAACAGTAAAATAGATAACGGAGGATAATTTAATTTTGTTTCTAAAAGTTTACAAGCTTCCCACCTGTTGAACGCAGTGATTTAATTAAGATCTCTGATAGTAAAGTGCAAAGTTCCATTAGGTCTACAGTCCTGTCCAATCAGGTATGCTTATGCAAATAGACCTTTGTAGCTGGTGTGCTTACCTTGTGTTACTGTCCCGAGCAGCTCTAGCAAGACGTACAAGTCTAACACTTTCAGCTTCACCTGTATTTCAGGAAATAAACACAACATGACTACTGCACCTGGAGATAGCCAGAATCATGAACCCAGCTCTGGAGCAGCTCAACAGGATTCAGGATTCCCCTTGCCTGTTCATGATATGGAAATCAAGTATACTAAGGTCAGTATGAGCCCATGAACATGCTTTGAAGGCAACATGAGTGCTTTGAGTTTGGTTCTTTCTGCTCGTTGTTTGGCTTTTGTTTCAGTTATTCCTGTTGTAAAGGCAAAAGGATATTAAAGTCATTTCACACAGAAATTTTCCAAAAGAGGTCTTTTAAAACTGTCAACATCAACATCAATTATTACTCTTCACTATATCATTGGATTTGTAACAAGTAATTATCACAACTAAAAAATATTTTCTGCATTGCAGAAATCACAGCCTGACCTTGTAGTTTCTGTTTCATACAAGTACATGCTTGCTTGTACCAATTTCTTATCAGCATCAATGCACCTATATAGAAATAAATCAATTAAATGCATTAAAACTTCAGACATAAGAAAACTTTGGAAAAGAGTCTAAGCAATTTTGTTTTAATTAATTAAAAAATAATCATCAACACTTTTTTTAAATGTAGGGAAGTAAACTTAACATCATACCTTGCATATTATGTTGTATATGTATTAAATTATTCATAGCCTTATCAATTTTAATATCTTGTTTCTTGTAGATTTATCTGAATATTAATTACATTTTATCGAGAAACCATTCTTATTTCATTTTCAACTTACACTGTGATGATTAATACAAATATTTGATTTACTGTATGTGGAGATACTTTACAGTATGTTATACTCTTATTTTTAATGATTATTTCAAATTTCTTCACATTATGATGTTACAATAATATGGATTTTCCTGTCATTCGCAAAACCTGGGACATCTATGTTGTTCAGCTTGTTTCCCGATCCATTCAGAAACAGAAAAACTACTGAACTTTACTTGTGTTTTTGCAGTAATCTGAGTTCATGTTCAGCATGTTTATTCAGTTTGGAAACAAACGTGTTTGCCCTTAAATAGGCCATTACACATACTTGACCTCATGCAGTTTAGTGCTTAGAATAAGTTGAAACCTTTGTTAATTTCAGTAGTTTCACTGCTTTTGTATGAAAGTGCTTCCAGAAACATTTCCTATTAAATCAGTTGATTTCCAGACAGTTACTGGATTTGAGATGCTTAGATAATTACATTTTAAACTACGCAATGCTTTATTAAAGTAAAACAAATCTGTGGAGAATAATGCACATGCAAATTTAAATATGTTGCAGTGTTGTGTTTTAAAACAGATTATGTACAGTATGTGTTAATTTAAAAAGTACTGGTCTGTATGTAGGAAGTGGCAGTTATTTAGACACAGCTTTGTCCCCTGTTAATCTGAAAATATATTAACCTTACACTGGACTAATTAGACAAGATTTAGGATTTTGTCAGATTATGTGATAACCTTTATATCCTTGTATTGAATGGGGATTCCAGCTAATTGTGTAGGTCATCTTTAAATATACTGTAGTTTGTGTTTTCTTCAAAAATCCAAAATCTGCAACTGCAGTGTTATATTTTTTGCACAAGGACGTTCCCCATTTGTACTGTAGCACAGAGGTATTAGAGTGGTATTATGGCCTTCAGCACATGTATGTGTGGAATCTGCATGTGTTCTTGTTATAACCAGTCCTGTCTATGCAGACAATACAATAACCAAGGACCATACAGACATTAACAAAGAGCTCACTGTTTATTAACAGTTGAGTTCAAAACCTGAATTCTCGAACAAAAGACTTATAAGGGTGAGATAAGTTACAAAAGATGTCAGCAAAAACTAAAGATAAAAAACTGAAAATATGTTGATTACAGAAGGATTCAGACCCTTGAAGTCAATATTTAGTTTTACAGCAATTACAGACTCAGGTCTTGTTGGAAAAGTCAGTACCAGCTTTGCACACTGGAGCTTGGTGTAATATTTTCTCATTCTTTTTTGGCACATTAAGCTTTCTCAAGGTACTTGGGGATTGTTCATGCACAGCAGTTTTCAAGTTCTTCCACAGATTCTCAATAAGATTAAAGTCAGAATTAAAGTCAGTGGCCAGACTGGGCCACTGTAACGCTTGAATGCTCATCCCTGTGTTGTCTGTAAAATACCTGACCTACTTCAGTTTAAATTTGTTGGTTGTACTGTAATATGTCCCCGTTATTGTGTTGTTTGTATTTTCAAAGCAGTTTTCAAACACTTTTGTTCTTACCTTGATGTTTGGTTGGATACTCTTAACCTGGAAACCTTTTGGTTTTGTTTATGGCTTTTCTCAGCTTCACAAGGTTGCAAGGTGCGGTTGTTGATGAAAACATGTTCACAGGGTAAGAGGTGTTCATCTTGACCCAGGTTATCTGAATTATTCAAGAGAGCTCCCAGACTGTAAACTTTTTCCTGTGATAATTCTTTGGTATTTTGTGTGTGTGTTTTACTGGAGGTCTTTCTTTCATTTCATGCAAGATATGTCTATGAATGAGTTAATGCTCTGGTTCCGTGTTCCCGCATTGCAGGGTACTTTAGTATCACCGACACTGGGGCTCATGGGATTCAAATTCTCCTGTTTAGGGGAGATTGAAGTGAGTTACATCTGATTGTCTCTGTAATCCTCAGGTCACTTTATACCAAAATGATAAGCCCGGTAGTTATTTTTAATACTTCAAAAGGCTGTTAACTTGACTTATTTTCTTATCAATATCTGTTTTGTTTTGTGTTTTTGCCTATTCCTCTCTTTTGTCCTTTACTCGCTGAATGTGCACAATATAAAAGACACTATTTTATTTTTGGCTTTTCTCTCAGTTTTAATGTGAAAAAGCGCACCTCCTGTGGGGTACTGGGACAGCTTTACAGGTGAAAGTCCCTCCACATCCTCTCACAGGGACAGTGACCCTGAAGGACATGCACTTTCTTATCCTTAAGGCATTCCAGTGTAGCTTTGACCTTGTGCTTTCAATCATCTTCCATCTGAAATGTGAACTTTTGTCCCAGTTTTTGATCTGATGCAGGTTTCCCCTTAAGACTTGCCATTACTTTGCTCCATCTATGTTTCCATCAGTCTTGACAAGCTTCCCAGACCCAGAAAATGAAAGCAGAACAATCTGAATAACATAATACTGCCACAACCCTGCATAACAGTAGCAAAGGTGTTGAGTTGGTGATACACTGCTTTGGGTTTGAGTCAGATGTAACACTTTGCAATCAGACCAAAAAGTTCCAAATTCTTGTTGATCAAAGCCTTCTGCCACATATTTGCAGTATCACTTTAGTAGTTTGCAGAAACGAGAGGACGTTTTCTCCCATCTGAGATACTGAACTCTTCTTTCAACACACTGTTGGGTTCACAGCACCATTCCTAACCAGATTTGGCCTTGCCTGGCTGTTCAGTTTGGAGGGACATAATGATACAGGAGATGTTAGGGTGTCTTAATTGTCTTAAATGTTCACTGTCCTCAAAGAGATATTTATCTCTTTGAAATGTTTTATACCCTTCTCCAAATCTGCACTTTTATACAGCTTTATCACTGAGTTGTTTTGAAAGCTCCTTGGTTTTCATGGGTGGCTCTGTACTTGAAGTTTACTACTTGATCAAGG